CGGGGTTGCGGGTGGCTGTGGGTGGCTGTGGGTGGCTGTTTCACTTTCATATCATAACCCAGAACAGGGAGCCTGGCCTGCAGGTGGAGAGAGGGCAGGTGACCTCGTGGGGGTCGCTCCCAGGTGTGAGGAGGAGAGAGGGGTGAACAGCACCCTGAGCAGCGGCAAGGCGAGGGGCAGTACAATGCCAACCGCCAGGCGCGGGCCTGGGCAGAGCCCTCTGGTACAAGGTGAGACCACGAACCGGAGCAGGCAGCATGTGCTCAGGGAAGGGGGTGCAGGAGGCCAGGGATAGAGGGTGACTGAAAAGAGGGGGTGCCGGGAAACGCGCCAGAAGAAAGGCGGGGGTTCCTCTTCAGTCCAGAGAAGGCAGACGGAAGGCCACACTCACAGGGGCAAGAAAGACATTCTGGAGAATGAAAACAATTTATGGGTCGGTGAAACATAAATCTGTGCTATACGCTAATCAGCTTAGCCGCTGACTCCATGAAGCGAGTTATTTAAAAATACAAGAAGAATGGGATAAAGGCAGGATTCTGCTAGCGACTGCAATGTTCAAACCACTCATCCAGCAGACGATAAAGCAGTCATTCCGTTAGAGAAATGGAATCACAATCCACAAACTCAATTTAATAGCTTGTGTACAAAACATTTCTTACCTCAGAGGTTATGCATTCTTTTAAAAAATATATATATATATATTGATTTCAGAGAGGAAGGGAGAGGGAGAGAGATAGAAACATCAACGATGAAAGAATAGTCGATCGACTGCCTCCTGCACACCCCGCACTGGGGACTGAGCCCACAACCCGGGCATGTGGCCTGAACAGGAATCCAACCATCACCTCCTGGTTCATAGGTCGATGCCCAACCACTGAGCCATGCCAGCCAGGCGTTATGAATTCTTTCCAAGACCGCTTCAGCATTTCTCAAAATTGATAGTGTAGTTAGTTAAACAAACAAAAACACAAAACCTTAAGAAAAATTTAAAAGGTTGAAATTTTCTCTAACCATATTCTTGAAAAATTAGAAATAATAAATGAAATTTTAACACTCCCCCCAATCCCTTGCTTTGTCTTAGAGAACAGATTAGCTGCCCGGAGAGAGCCAACAGGACTGTGGGTAATACGGTGGCGTCCGCTCTAAGCCAGAGGCCTGGGCTGGGCGGTGCTCAGGCAGCAGAGCCAGGCTCCACGGTCCTGCTGCCCCGTCCAGGGGTGCCTTCACCCACAGGGTCCCCAAGGTTGCGTCCCATCACTTTTGCTCACATCCCAGTAGTCAGAACTCAGTCACACGGTCATGCCTAGCTCAAGGAATGCTGGGAGTTGTAGTTTTGTCGGGGGTGGGACTGTGCTGCTAAAGGAAGGGCTCCTTCACAGTGAAAGAGGAGAAGGGAGTTTGGGAGACAGTTCGACCCCGTACCACCCCTGCGGCCTCGACGGAAGCAAATGCCGAAATTAGGAGCGCGCTGAGAGCAGTGGCAGGGGAGCCCCCAGGGGGACCCCAGGAAGCAGGGACCGGGGGCGGGGGGATGGAGCACCCTAGGCGCCGAGAGCCAGGACTGCAGGTGAAGGAATTACCGTGTGACTAAGAACACATTTCTAACAGGTGAGAAGGTGGCAGAGGAGAGATAATAGCGAGCAAACAGGCCCCACGGCGACAGGACTAAAAGGCCCGGAGCTGGTTCCGCAAAACACCAGCAAAGTGCCTCATCTCTCGTAAACTCGACGGAGAGCAAGAGCCCAGGGCCCGCGACAGAAACGGAGCCGAGGCCTAAGGGAACGTCACGTGACGCCGTGGTGGGAAAGCGGGGGTGGGGCCCAGAAACAGAGAGGTGGCTTCCCGGGAAGATGTGAATTAAACGGATAAAATACGTAAATTACAAATGGGAGCGGAGGAAGCCGTGGGTGGGTGAACAGATCACGTGCCTAGAACAGCCAGGCCGGGTCGGGGGCAGGCAGGTGGGCGCTGCCCACGGGAGGAAGGGCCTGGAGTCCCAGTGGCGAGGGCCACACAGCTCTGTGCAATGCTGACCCCATAAACCGCGCACTTCAAAGGGTTCAAGTGGTGAGGTTTATGTCACGTAAATTTATCTTAGTTCTTAAGAGGCAGAGGAGCGCCCAGAGGTGGCAGGAGGGACATCGGGGGACAGCACGGACGGGACATCCCAGGCTGAGATTGACGGTTTGGGAGGGGGCCCAGGGCGAGCCCGGAGCCGCTGGGCACATCCGCCGGCTCACCCCTGCTCGCACCTCCCCGCTCCTCTCTGCTAAATGCCCGCTCCCCTCCCCAGGGGCCAGCATGCGGGGAGGAGGGCAGGGGCCCCGCGGCCCACCAGGCCTCACACCGTAAACCACTCAGCGGAGTTACAGTCCTGCTTCCCGTCCATTTTCATGTACAAATCTAATCTTTCGAGACCAACTCCCTTCTAACTCACATAAGACGGGCTTTCATCAATAATAATATACGATCAATTACTCGAATAGAATTGATTAGTGCAGAGAGCCGTGCCTCCCGCCGTGGGGGCTGACGGCACATGGAGCTCCGCCGTTTCGCAGGGCGGGCCTGGCCCTGGGCTGTGGACTATCTCTACCTTTTAGCGGAGATTGAATTTATACACGATTTTCTAATGGAGCGTAAGAAAGGCCCAAAAGGGCACTTTACGTGCAGCCCGGCGATGACACCATCCCAGGCGGCGGGGCAGGAGACGGTGAGTGGCCTCGACGGGCCCTGAGCGTCCGCGTCTTTATTTGGCCGCACAGATGAGTTTTGTCATCGGAAAGTTGAGTTCCATAAATCCAACGTCGCCCAGTTCAGTCAGGGGAATTGAACTGGTTTCAGCCGGTCTGTCCCTCTTGGCTATGCTTTACGGAGACGGCAGCACGGCCAGATGGCAGCCAGCAGGGTGGGCATGGGGACGGCCTTACTCGCCGCCGGAGAGTCCCGAGGCAGCGCCAGCCTGGGCTCACCTGTCTCCATGGCCGCCCTGCTTGCAGTCAGCAGAGCAGGCTCCTGGGACCGCGCCCCCTCGCCGTGGCTGCCTGGGGCTCCTGGGACTGTGCCCCCTCGCCCGTGGCTGCCTGGGGCTGAACAGAACCCTGGCGTGAAGGGTCAGCTGGGCTGACGCGCTGGCGCTCACAGTGGCCCCTTCTCGCTGGGGGAGGATCGGGGCAGTGGGGACTGCAGGGGGCAGGGAGGGGGGAGCCACAGGTGTGGGCTCAGGAGGTGTCTGTAGGCCGCAAGCTTGGTTACTGAAGAGCAGGGGATGGATGAGGGTCCCTGGGAACCCTGGTCCGCGCCTCCAGGCCCAGCGAGGCTGTCTGCTCCTCACAGTCTCACTGTCACCCTCATGGCCCCCTCCCCGCCCACTGACTGTGCAGGGCAGGGCGGAACTGACCACGGTCTGCAGCTCCCTGTGGGCCAGCTGCTCCCGCCTCCCTCCGTTCCTGCCTTCGCTCCATTCCCACGGTGAGGCTTCCGGGAAAAGACTCTTCTCTGGCCTTCCTCACGCCCCGCCCTCCGTGTCCTGCCCTCCGTGTCCCGCCCTCTGTGTGGGGACTTTGCTGGTGACCAGCTGAGTTAGCCGGCTATTTCACCAACACAGGACCCTGCCGTCCCCCTGAGAGATAGTCGGACGTCCCAACCCCGCCCTGTGGCTGTGGCCTCAGGGTCTGTGAGATGTCGCCAGGTTAAGAAGAGGTCATGCTGGAGGGGGTGGCCTGGCCCAGTGACCGTGTTCTTCTACGAACAGGCCAGGCCAGAAGAGGCAGGTGAGACAGCAGCATGCCCTGCCCACACCCTGGCAGCAGTGGGGGGGGATGGCCCTGCCCACACCCTGGCAGCAGTGGAGGGGGTGGCCCTGCTCACACTGTGTGTTGCACTCCTGCCTCCGGGACTGAGCCGGTGAATTTCCCTTGTGCAAAGGCGCTGGGTTTGTGTCCCCTGCTCCAGCCGCCACAGGGAACTCAGACCCTGTGAGTCCCGGCCGCCCCCTAACGCTTTTGCTGCTGTGGACGGTTCCAGAAGAGACAGGTCTCAGGAGCTGGGGGTGTCATGTTTGTCCCTGCGGGGAGGTCGCCTGGGAGACAAGTGGAGGGAGAAATCCCCAGGCGCCCTGAGCGGCCGCGCCCGGTGCAGCGGGACGTATGTAATTTGTTTGCTTTGCAATTCTCCCCCTGAGCGGACACAGTGCTGTGCATGGGCAGGGCGGTCCCTGGGGCCGCTGCCTGGTCAGAGGACAGGAGCGCTGGGCTGAGGGCGGGCCGGCGGGCACAGCCGAAGGGGGGAGGGAGGAAGGGCGTGAACCCTCTCGGCTGAGTGACAACCACAGAGGCCTTGCCCCAGAGCCGCCCTGGGCCTCGCTGGCACCAAGTGCGGGCGTCTCCTCGGGGACCAGGCACAGACGCCGCCTGACCTGGGCTGTGGCCTCTGAGACGCGGACACTGGGGGCTAAATGGGGATGCCCTGGCCATTTCCATGGAGGGGCAAGGCGTGGCTCAGCAAATAAAAAGTGGGTTAAAAACCCAAACTCAGACTCCACAAGAGGGCAGCGGGTCAAAGGGCAGCCTGGGGGTGCCTGGCTCACCCCCTGGCGCGGCCGGCTCCTCCGCTCACTGCCTCCCCTGTGGTGAGAGGCACGTGCTGAAGTCGCTTCTCTGTGCCCCCGGGAAGGTGCGGGGGCCCCAGGAGGGGCGGACGGGCACTTGGATGCCACGCCAGGCGGCATGGTGGGCACAGGTCTCGGAGGGCATTGGGTGTGAGGTCACTGTGTGTCTCCACTCCCTGTGTGTTTAGAAGGTTCCGCAGTGACGTTGATTCCAGTTCAAATCAGGACAAATGTGTCCGTCCCAGCAGCGGGGCCGTGCCTGGCCACGGGCTGTGTCCCCTCCCGCCCTCCCCTCCCCGGGTCTCCCGGAGACAGGCAGCGTGCGTTCTCCGACCCTCAGCTTCATCACCCTCGAGCTGCGAGCTGCGTGCGGCCAGGAAAACCGCCACCCCTGACGCCCTGTCAGCGTTTGCTTTTCCTTTGACCATTCACCGCTGAGACCCGGTGGCCACTGAGAATTTCTCGGGGGGAGATTTCTACGCTCCATCCCGTATCCCGAAGCGTCTGCGTGAGCTTCGAGGCGCCATCCCAAAGCAGGACAGAGCCCCCGCGCGGAGACCGGGCCGAGGGAGAGGTCCAGCGGAAACACGGGGAGGCGGAGGCCAGGAGCCCAGGCACGAGCTCGGGGTGCTGGCAACTCGAGCCCGGGCTTCAGACCAAAGATGGAAGTGCTGAGTGACTGCACCCGGCAAGTGCTTATTGAGGACCTACTGTGCACGGGGCTGGGCTCCAGTGCAGAGCACCTCAGACACGCTCTGTGGGGGGTGTCTCATGACCCACATGTGCTCTCCTGACCCCAACAGCAACCCCAGTTGGCAGCCCCAGCACCCCCTGGGCTCCCAGCACGGCCCTGCCCCCAGGCTCCCGGATCGAGGGAGGCCGGAGGCGGGCAGGGCTGGACCGTGGACCCCCTGTCCGGCTGTCCGGTGAGCCTGTCCCCAGTGAGTGACAGCAGAGAGGTGACCCCAGCGCCGGGGCAGCCCACGCTGCCAGAATTAATGTGTAAGATAAACAGACCCCGGGGGCCGAGGGGTGCCTCAGGCCGGGGTCAGAGGCGGCTCGATGGGGGGCGGGGGGTCAAGAGCGTGCAGCCAGACAGG